GTGGCACACTGTGGCACACTGTGGCACACTGTGGCACACTGTGGCACTGGCAAGCCACTGTTGGGAAGTCATCTTGCAACAACCTCATCTTTTCACTTGGAATGCTGCTTCAAATCCTTTTCTTCAGTGCACAAATAGGTTGGCAGCGGAGAAAGTCTGGCAGGTGGGGGCTGAGCACATCCGGCCTGTTCGAAGGTTGTGGTCGTGTGATCCTCCCTGTCTTTTTTGTACAACATGCGACGAAAGCAAAACTTTGCATGGCGAGCAAATCACCACATTCTGCTCCAAATGATCAAGCCTCCAGCGCTGGCCATGTTGGCCAAGCACTCCGCGGCCTCTCCTGCCACCCACATCCAGGTTGGTACAATTGTGCCTATAGCTCCAACCCGCCTGCCGCCATTCAGTGGCTAAGAGCTGTTCTGGAGTCAAGGTGCTGGACAGGCGCGCCCCCCTGTCAGGCAGCTTGAAATCGCAAAGGACAAATCGCTTGAAGTCTTCAATATTCTTTCTGCAGCTGCACAATTGGACAAGGCTGTCACGGCGATAATGGCAGTGCCCTCAGCAAGAATCACAGTTTTCAGAACTCGATGGGCCTAGTCACTGCACTCACAACAAATCAAGACGCCAAGAAGAGTGACTCTATCAATAAACCCTTTTCAATACACTGTTCTCTGACTATTTATTTCCAGAGATGTTCTATGTGAAGGAGATTAATCAAGGCAACAACGTGTTTCTCTTGCCGGCCCCAGCCCCAGCACACAAGGCTGCAGTGCATTGGTTGCAAATCCTTCCACTAGTCAAGCTTGCTTTCTCCGCCTCTTTACGCTGTTGCGTGTGCAGTGGGCGGCATCGGTTTAAAATTGATGTTGTTGTAGTTGTGGTGTCCACAGTGCAAAGGTATCTGAGTATGTGCCAAGCTCATCTTTAAAAGACATGAGTGAAAAGACACACAAAGCGGCTGAAACTACACGCTTCCAACCAAACTGTGCACAAATGCTGGTAACACCTTGCCGCTTAGCTCAGCACTGATCCAGGCCAAAGTGGCACAAGTTTGGCATTGATGCAGACAATGGTGAAGAGGGATGGCCCAGCCCCCCTCCGCTCGGGGACCTGGACCTAGGTGCTAAGGAGGAACTGGTCTGCTACAATATTGTAAAATCCGCTTGAATCCCTCGGGTCTCCACATGCTACTCTTCTCCAAGAGCTGCGACCTTGGCACTCTGAGTTAAGCTCTGAAGGAACCCAAAACGGGAATGACGATGACCAAAGAGCTTCCCTGAGACCGTGGCAACATTTGAGATTCGCTGAGGCCACCCATTGGCGTGAGGACCGATCCATGTCCGGACTGGCAAAATCATGCGATCGAGAACCAAAATCATGCGATTGTTCATAGAGTTTAGAGATGACTAGAGGGTAGAGCGAAGCAAAGTAGCAAGTGTCTCCAGGGTGCGCCCTCCAGGGCAGAACCAAGTGCAGAAGCTATTGAAGTCGAGTCCCTGCGCCTGACAAGTGGAACCGCACATTTAAGATGTTCAATGACTTTGCCAACAAATTTGTTGTACTTAGCACATAATCTTCGAGAATCTGCATGAGAATGTGAAGAAGAGTTTCAAGTAGCTGGCCCCATCTGGAACAGTAAGCCGCCACAAGCGAGCTACAACCTTGGCCACATGCTTTGGTGTTGCTTTGAATTTCAACGGTCATCACTTGCAGATTCTCCCAGCCTCGGGATCTATGTCCGGCTCGAAGGTGGACAAAACCTGTGAATTCGTCTGGTTTGGCCAAACAAGTGTGCAGAAGGCTTTGGCAATCGAAGGGCCCCAACCCTTGCCAAATCTGCTCGGTCCATGGTTGTAGCCTCGAATTTCCAATTGCATGGCTCCAAATGATCTTTTTGACTCCACTGACTCTGAACTCTGAGCATGATTGGACTAATTATGAGGAGACTTAGAGAGGCTATGAAAATGCCCTGAGGAGTTGCGACTAAGGCCTGAGCCCCTCGGCCACCTGAACGGCAGAATCCGCGAAAGACCTTTCAAAGAAGAAAACACTGAGTAAAGAGCTTTAAAAAGAGAGCTTCAAAAAGCAACAAAGTTGTACCAATAATCAATATCCATGATGTCATTCTGCATCATTCTTCATTCACATGCCGACCTCTTCAAAAGAACGTCCAGATCGCCCTACCGCACTTCTGACTCGTCCAACAACTCGTTCAGCCTGGCAACTGAAGTTTAATCGTCCAACAAGTTTGCATCACCTCTTTGTCACCTCAGGGCTCAACGCCACATAACCTCGAAACAAAAAGCTGAGAAGTGGCACGAGGCTCCCTCTGTGACGGGCTCTTCGACTTGCGTTCTACGGCCTGAGGCTCCCTCCGCCCAAACTGGGCAAGTCCAAGGCCTGAACCAAAGCCAAGCAAAGTTGTCCCAAACATGCAGCACAGCAGGGACGGCTTTGCGTCTGATTGGATCGTTTTCAAATCAGTTCGCAAGAAAGCAAAATTGCCTGTGCGTCCATGGGTGGTCACCAGCCATTACTTTCTTCCCTACTCAGTACATGTTTGATGATGTCCAGGCAATGATGTCCTCAGATAAGGTGAGAGTATTGAAAAGGTCTACAGTCTACAAACACGATGTCAAGGGCACTCTTCTGCTCTCATTGTGGGGTCAAATCGATCCGAGGAAACATCAAGCTTGCTTCAAACATTGAATTTGGTTGGTTGTATGAATGCGAGATGCGATGTGTGATGGCAAGGTGTGATCATCTTGGAAGTATGGACTGGAGGGGCAATCAACCAAAAAAGGAGCGAGAGTTGATTTGGACAGGGGAAAGGATCCTTTTGACAAGGAGCAAATGCGTGGTGCAAAGCACTACCAGGACAGAAAGGAGTCAGCCATGCACTTTAGTCTAGGCATGAGCTACATGTCAGCATTGCTTAGCTGTAGGGATCCTTTCTTGCTCTAGAATAAAGTGTTGCTAAATCTGTTTCGAAATAGCAAAATCTTCAATACCTGGTTGAACATTGTGATCAGTTGCTGATGCAAGAAAATTTTTTTAAAGGTTGTAAAAAAGTGCATAATTGCTGTCTTTCAAAGTTCCAATCCAGTCCGTCTCAGGACACTGTGTGATGATATATCGCTGATTGGATGAGCACCAAATTGCAACAAGTCTTATCCAATAAAAGTTGTCTTGGACATAGTCATCTTTGGGATTTTGTGGGATCTCTTTGAATTGATGGATGGTTACAGTAGATGCCCTTGGCCTTCAGCAGCTTGATGGGACAAATCTGGTGTTGGGGTCTTCATCATGAAGCGACACGGTGCAACTGGTCGGGCTCTACTTGAAGCGTTGAATCACTATGGACCACTCCACACCATAGTATAGGTGTATGCTGTATGCAGCATCATCTTGCCTGTTGCGTGGCCAAGCTGGTAGTGGTCAGCCTTAAAGAATTCCAATGTCCCTTTCAACCCTGTTTGCTGATATATCATATATCTCAACGGTCCAATTGAGCCTACGGCGGAGCAGCAGCCCCACAGCCGAGCTCAATTTGCTGACGACGTGCCTGGTGCAATCGCCGATTGCCACAGTTCATAGAACTGGTGAAACTTGTCACAGCACAAAATGAGAATACGATGAGAACAACCACACACAGGCTAGCAAAGCCTCGTCCAAGTGGCGGGAAAGAGCAGTCTGCAATGTACGAAGTCTAGCTGCCTCAGGAAAACATCTGTCAAACGAGGATCGTACCACCGGGGGGGAACCTTTGCCAATATCCCACGGCTATGGCATGTGACATTTTGTGTAGCCTCTGGCAAGTCGTTTGCAAAAACCACTGAAAGAACAAGCATTGCAGGACTCAAGAGCCAACACACACATCAGCGCAGGCTGCAGCCGCACTGCGCATATGACTTGACCTCGGCAAGAGGGGTGAGCCATGCAGTTTCAATATGGTTCGATTACAGCAACCAGGTTCTCAGCATCGCAGTGAGCATTTCATCTTGAATTCCGTCCATGATGTCGGCAACCTCAGAATTAAGTCTTGTGAGGTGTCAAGAAGTACAGACCGCTGACCGCTCTTGGCTGTGCCATTGACTTTTCCGCCTTGAAACTAATCCCAGACGGTCATAAGCCAATACAGGGTCAGAGAAAGCTTCCAAATCCAAAAGGTGGATAAGAGTCAACAAAGCCAACGCTTTGAAGACGGTGCCTAAGTAACTAACAACACGTTCAATACGCATCAGGTTTGAGCATAAACCCCTCCAAACATACACTCCAAGCAGGCTGTGTTTGGCATAGCCAGAGAGTCTCACGGCAATCAGTCAAGCCTAGATCCTTTACACCGGCAAGACGGCCATCATCGTCAATTTCCCAAGAGCTATAACAAGAACTAAACAGCAGAATCAAACTCTCACCACCCATGTGAAGCATGGCGTGCCATGGAAATCGTGCTCAGCAATCTGTGACTTCCAGCACTGAGAGCTGGGCGATGGCTGCCATTCTGGACGCATCCACAGCTTGCATTGATTGAATTAAGAATGAACGTCCTCTTTTTTGTGCCCCTACTTGAGTGATACCATGACAACTCTACAAGAGTATGGAAATTACCTTGCTACCGTATTTGGCCAGTGGAATCACGTCCTTGCTTCCGCGTGTATATGTATGTGAGAAAAAGCTCTCTCTCAAGCATAAGTGTATTCAGCGAGGAACCTTTGCATCCAGCCTTCATTGACAGCAAAACCACCACAGTTCATAAAATTTCACGGCATGGTGACAGCACGTGGACTTGACTCTCATGCCTCTTGAAGCTTTGGGCCAGCTGACAACAGCCAAAGTAAGCAAGCAAGCAAGCAAGCAAGCAAGCAAGCAAGCAAGCAAGCAAGCTGTCTGTGACAAACCTTCTCTTGATTGTGCATTGGTGACAGTGCGCGTTTTACAAGATTGCGATTCACCAGCTGCAGCGTCTTGACAGGTAACACGTCGCAAGATCACGAGCGTGCAAAAGCTGCACTGGCAAGTAGAACTTGAGTAACTAGTTTCTTTCAATGAGTGTTCCCAAGTATCTTTCAAATCTGCCAGCATCGTGGCGGTGAATGTGGTGAAACTGAAAACTCTATCGAATCTTTCAGATTATCGCCGCAAACTCGTGTTCGTCCTTGGCAAAAACAGCCAAAACATTCACAGCACCTTATGCAACAAAAAATGAAACACCATATGCTTTTCCGAGAACTTTAAACAACGCTTGGGACTTGGGATCAGACCTTGAATTTGCAGACTTGCCCTTTAGAGGCTCACACACTTTGCACGAAAACCAACTTTGCTTGATTTCGTCAGCCTCAGCTCACAGTACAAATCTCTTGATCTTTTCCTTTTGACAATCTATGGTTCCTGCCTCCAACAAAGGGCTGTCCACAAAGTACGAGTCTACCTCGCACCCACAGTTGAAGCCATTCTTTCCCAGCCGTAGCCCACACTAAAACAGGCACAACGCGTGAAAGGCGTTGGCCTAGCCAAGAAGCTGTAGCATATGTTTAGAAAAATCAGAAATGTTCAGTGATTGCTGTTGAGTGATTGCTACATTCATTACAGTATATTCGTGCATCTTCAGTAGCGGTTTCCGTGTACTTGTAACCTCTAAGGAAAGGCTCAAAATTATGTTTATATATTTGAAGTAATGCAGTCAGTTTTGTCTCGGGCGACCAACTTTTTTTGACTATATAACTCTGGGTGTACAGTTTGGCTGGAAAGATGGCTCTCAGGACATGACCCCATAGCGATTTTCTACGGAAATAAAACTGGCTGAATAGTTCGACATTGCATCGGTCGCCTTGATCAGGGTATGAAAGCTCTGTACATCAATTCAGAACTGCTCTATGAATATTTGGTTGCCTTTGTTGCTTCCCAATATGGCAGCAATTTGGACCAGGTTTGTCTTATATATACTTCTCTTGCGTTTTGTTCAAAATGTCATGTCAAATGCTTGCTTCCTTGTTGATGTCGTTTCCCACATAAGTTGCTTCGAGCTCCAAAATGGGCCAGACCATAATTGTTGATTTGTATCGCCACACACTGATCTTTGTTTAGCCGCAGTTCGTGTGTGCTGGAGATGGTTTCAGTGAGTTTCAAAAGTAATTTAAGGCCCTGTTGTCTGTAGAAACAAAGAATTGTATAATGTATGGTGCACTCAAGGTTTGGGACTCTGCCATTGTGTACCCATCGACGAATTTTGGAGCAGATCTCAAATCCAAACAAGACATCACAACATCAAACAATAAGGAGATAGATGGCACCCTTGTCTGATGCCAGAAGATTGTCGTTTGATCTGGGATGATCCAAACGCATCTTTCGCAAAATGTTCTTTCTTTATACAGTATCACAATAGTGTTGACTAAACCCTATTTCTTGCAAAGCAAAGATTATAAAAGCTTTCTCCCAATCTAAAAGGGCTATGCTGAATCGGGCACCTTTACTCAGCGGTTTTGGCGATTCAACCATTTCAACAATTCCATTTGCAAGCCATCTGGGCCCAGTTGTATATTGTTTCTAGATGTATTTAATGCTGCGTTAAATTCCTCCACTGCGAAGATATACCCTTTCATCTGCCTCGTTATTCAATGAGATTGGTGTAGCGTCCGGCATTCCAGCATCAATAAATATGACATGTTATTATCGTGTTTCATCTGTACATACTGTGGTGTACATAAATCTATGTTCTAAACTTTTCACTGCCTTCCAAAACCTTTTCTTGTGTGGATCCTAGAGGTTTTCATTAAACTGCTCAATCAAATGGTTGTGACGGTCTTTACACACCAATTTGTAAATTTCCTTGTTCAATCGTCGTACCTCTTGTGAGGGCGCTCAGCTCCTGAGTTGGTTTCGTCATGTTTTGCCCAAGTGTTTCTTGAAATACATGCAGTAACTGTTTTACTGGCTTATTTCTATTGGTATAGTTTCCAAATTGTTTTCTGCAGGACGCAAAATACCTTCAACAGACTTTTTAGGCGCAAAGGCTGCTGTGACAAAGATTCAAAAACGTTCGGAGTGGAAACAGTTATTTTGAGCTAGAGTAGGTTTCAAGAACTTCTTAAATGTCTTGGGCTCTTGCACGCGCTTGTTAGGTGTCATCTCGAATTGCGCTTCTCTTACTACTAAATTATCCAAATCAAAAGGAATGTCTTGCCGGCTTTGGGGAATTTGTCAGCGCAGGCAGTCGATTTGTGCATATTGGCTTTATTGCAAGAATCCTAATTCCAAACAATTTTTAAAAACAAGCCAGCTTTGTTTTTCAACAACCACGATTTGCCATAAAACAAATCCGAAGCGTCGTCTACTCTGTGCCTGTGCACTCAAAGCGCCACCAGTCAAAGGTACTGATCAACAAAACAACCACCACAACTGTACAGCGGTACAGTTGTTTTCACTGAAATTTATTCCGGTCCATCCAAGTCTGATGGGCGCAATGCACATGGCTCCGGAAATCATTTGGTCTCAATTGTTTTCCATAGATGCTTTATATAGGTTGAGACGTGTAAACACGTGTACAGTAAGTAGTTTTTGGCATCAGACCCTGTCATGAAGAATAATTGACTGTTGTATACATTTGTATACTGTATATTCCGTCGTAACAGTCATGAACCTATTGCTTTTCTCTGCCTCCGAAGACAAACGAGTCTCAATTCTGTTGCAAACTGCTTCGACCTTGCAATGACACTTTGTTGCGTATTCAAAAACAGACTTTTTCAACCTGGACAAAGTCATCAACAGCATTGAGCGTCTTGCGCTTGAATATGCTGCTGGGTCTTGCTTGTTTGTTGTTGGACCATCCTGACCTATGGACTTGCAAACATTGGGTGCTCTTTCTAGCAATACTTGGCACCACAACTGCTTGTCGCTTGTCGCCACAACTGCTTGTTTTGGTCTCACCAAAGTCTGACTAAAGTCTGTAGAATCGCAGTCAAATCAGCTGTCAACTCCACCAAAGCAACTCGTGGGTGCATCTTTTGCATACTGCTGGCACTGCTGGCTGCAGGAGGACTTGACAAACACCCTACACTACACCATCCATCAATTGCTAGAAACGCAACATTCCTAGCATGCTTACCCCAGAAAGTGCTAACGCCACTCCCAAAGACTGGAACCTCAATCACAGGCATCATCTACTTTTCCTCCACATAAACTTCCAGACTTACCCGCCTGCGGGCCCCGCTGCCCAAAGCTCTTCTGGCAATAGCCTTCCTGCAATCTGCACAAGCCTACGATGTTGAGGCGAAGAACAATTGGCCTTCCCTTGCGAAATCATATCACAATAGCAGAATAGCGCTAAAGTCGAGAACATGATGGTCCTCGGCCAGAACGCCTGGAGAACTCCTTACAATCAAAAGGCCGAGCAGCTGCTTGATTGTGCACAATACCCATGTGAGTGTGCACATATTGATTGTGTGAATACATCCACATTGGAAGAAGCAAAGGCGGAACAAATAACAGAAACGCCATCGAGCTCCAATGCAACCGCGGCTCCCACTGCTCATGCTGAACCGCCCAGCTTGGCTGGTGCTTGCGACAACCATGGCACCCTGGCAAAAGCAGTGGTGCTGCAACACTTCAATTTCTAGAGATTGACAAGTGTGAAGCACCAAAAACAACACCCACAGCCCCATGCAAACAAAGCAAAGTGTTGCAAGTTCAAGTGTGCGGTTTCGACGTGGCACCAACATGCCCCAACTGTAAAGACATTTTTTGAACGAGAAACAAAGGAAAAAATAAATAATCAGAGAGCCTGTGAGCTCTCTCCTTCTCCCTCCAGGACCAAGCTCACTACTGATAAACCTTATCGTTTTGCGGCATTTGTTTTCCCACGACTATGTGTGCAAATCATGCCCAGGCAGGTCCAGCCCATAGCCCATGTCAACATGACAACTGTTTGAAAAACAATGATACGACTGCAATTGAACATCTCCAACTTCACACCCTAGTTCCTTCTTTGTGTTCCTATCAACTCACTGATCCTCAACCCAATCCTGAGGGCAGCTGTTCGAGACCAATCAACCAATCTGCTGCAGCTACATGTTCACCGCATGGAGCCCATCGCTACTGCAAATATATCCACATCATTGGTCTGTTTATTGCTCATGAGTTTTTCAGGCAAGTCGGTCTATTCAATCTGTTGAATTGTTTTCTGCGTCCACAAGTGTTGGGGCAGAACAGTCTGGCCACTCACATTTCATTTCATCAAGCAGGGGGTCAAGGTGCGATATCACCAGCCTTGACCAATGAAGCTGGGTGATATCGCGGGATGTGGGACTTGGCCAGTCCCATGTCCTTGCTTTTTAATCTACTCTATATAGCTACAAACCAGAAAGTTTTACTTTTTTTTTACCTACTTAGAGCGATTCACTTGTCTCGCCCCCTTATGGAACCTACCTATCTATGCATGCCGCTAATTCAGGAGTGCTAAGTATTAGGCAGCTAGTTTCCGGAATGCCTTTGTTAAAACATCTACAAGTACGCTGACCTGCCACCTTTCCGTTTGTCGAGTCAAGTGCTAAGTATTCAGTAA